CCAGGCACTTTTGGGATGCACTGATCCTAATATTATGACTCACGGCTTAGCAAAACTGAATAAATGTAGACATGTGAATGGGTGACTTCTGCTAAAGCACTTGGACAAACACCCTTTTTACCTGTAACGAGAAAACATCATGCTCATGGCTTTAAACCCCCTCAGTTTGAATGCACATGATGCTTCTGTATACAGTGGCTTTCCTCTCCTCTCATAACCTTTTTCTTTGTCACTCTCGATCCTCTTTTCCCCTGCAGGAAAACACGAGGGGTGTTACATTTGGTCTGTCTGGTTTAGTAAGTGTCTCTCTCTCACGGCTGAGCTCTTGGCATTTCTGCCCAAAACATCAATGTCATTAGTTCAAATCTTTCCTTTTTTTTCACCGTGGGCTGTACAATCCTCTCTATCTGTCATACCCCCTCTGTCCCAGTTAACTTATTCCACTAGCATAAATGTAAGTAATCGGCTGCTGTGCAGCTGTCTCTGCTGGGTTGCATCTATAGAATAAAGAAGCCACATTTAAACATTATTGGAGCCCCTTTTTATCTTTAATTGAACATAACATGGCATAAACAATGCAGTGGAGATGAATTTCAAACCTTACTATTCTGTAATTTTTTTTTATTTTCTGTAACTTGTAAAAAAATATAAACATTTTAAAAAGATGAAAAATAAAATATATTATTATTCATTATTATTAAGAAAAAATGTAAGGATCGATAGACAGATGTTATGTGTAATGTGTGTTATTTTTATTTTTAAAATAATAATATTAAATTGTTTATTTTATCCCTCTACGGTACGGAATATGATATCAATGAGGAAAAAAATATTTGTGATGTTTTTCCTACTTAAAATTGGACACTATAACAATATCAGTAAAAATGTTCATTATTTTTTTTATTTTTTAAAAGGTTGTTGCCTCAAGGCAACACTGTACCACAATGGACAAATTTAAACATTTGACATTTTCATGCAGAAAAAATAAATATATTTATTGAAAACATCAATTTCTTTAACCAAACACTTGAACAAACAGATTTATCTAGATTTTAATGTATTGCACATTTGAAAAATACCATTTCAAATCCAGCTGTTGCTCTCAGGCAACATTGTACCATCGTGGATCACAAGTATAACTAAACTATCTGTTGTCATACCAAAACATTATAGTCAGTGTTGTTTCAAAGTAAAAAATGAAAAATAATCATAACCTTATCCTAATATGCACTTTATCCTTACAAGCATGCACACACAAGCACATGCATGCAAAATCTCCTTCTTCACTAATGACACCTCATTGCTTGTGAAAACTGAGGAAGCAATTCTTCTCAACAGACAAATCATAATATGTGCAGATATAGTATGAGAATTACTATTCTTGAAAATTCATTACAAAATCATGCAAAAATTCTAATACATTTAGATAATTCTAACTCTTTTCCTTACAAATATCATATACTTGTATTCTAACCTAGTATGCCTGCATGGCCTTATGTGATTCCATTGCGTTACAATGTTGCCTTGAGGCAACATGCAGTTTTTTGTAATTTCCTATACGTACATTTGATGAAATATGTAAAGTTTTTGAAAATACTTCTTTACTTTCCAATGAAGGTGACTAAGATTTTTTTGTAGGCAATTATATGCACGGAAATCGATTAAAAATGCACTTTTCATTGGACAAAATATGGAGTCATGTGACATGTGCACATGTCCTGAAAATGGAAACAAAATTGAAATATTTTGGAGGAGCAGGACAGAGCAGGGCACAGACGAGCACTCTAAAATGGCTCACTGAAAGTTCTAATGAGCAGGTATCGCGGTTGCGGCTGTAAAGGTTTTGAAAATACTTCTTTACTTTCCAATGAAGGTGACTAAGATTTTTGTAGGCAATTATATGCAGGGAAATTGATGAAAAATGCACTTTTCATTGGACAAAATATGGAGTCATGTGACATGTGCACATGTCCTGAAAATGGAAACAAAATGGAAATATTATTATTGTTAATAATATTTAAATGTATATTAAAATGTATTAATTTATATATACTATAACTTATACTTGTGTGTGTGTGTGTGTGTGTGT